CGCTTCCCTGAATAGACCCTCGCTTGCAACTTTCTTGGTCGTATTCGGTGGTTCATTGTCCCTGCTTTGCTTGCGCCTGCACTTACACCTAACGTACTAGACACGCTTTGCTATTGTTCTCGTAAAAGTTGCATATGCTCAGTAGAACACTCTGTACCTCGTGACTGCCATACGTCAGCCGTCATGCCTGTCAATTGCATGTATTCTGTATGTCAAATGTCATAATTTTCAGTGTGAAGATCAATTTAATGACTTCAACCTGATTTTATAAGATTATGCTTCATTTAATTAATGCCTGTAACCTTTGATGATCGAAAGGAGCTGAATAAATCTATACTTGACCTGTTTATGTGCTTCTGATTTCCCTATCCTTACAACAAAGCTATAAAACAAGTTCAAATTCCAGAAAACTACCTGTAAGAGTTGTAGTACTCAAGTCACAAGAAGAGACGACTCAAAACATCTATTCAGAGCAACCAGTATTCCAGGATTCCCCAAGAGTGTGTAATTAAAGCCTAGTATGCTCTCTTGGCCCCCTGCTCCCAGGTCGATTCAATAGCTTTGAATCCTGGTTTACTGTAGACATCCAGTGGATGTCTTTCTTCACTGTTGCTACCTTGGGCCTCCTTTGAAACTCAGTTTGTGGGAGCAGGTGAAGTAAATCACCTTTATCAAAAATCTGCCGCTCGAGACACCCCGACAGGTCCCAGAAGCCTGTTCGACAAGCGTAATTAAAGCCTATATAGTATGCTCTCTTGGCCCCCTGCTCCCAGGTCGATTCAATAGCTTTGAATCCTGGTTTACTGTAGACATCCAGTGGATGTCTTTCTTCACTGTTGCTACCTTGGGCCTCCTTTCAAACTCAGTTTGTGGGAGCAGGTGAAGTAAATCACCTTTATCAAAAATCTGCCGCTCGAGACACCCCGACAGGTTCCAGAAGCCTGTTCGACAAGCGTCAAAGTAAGGGCCCCAGAATAGAGACCCTTACACCGATATCCACTCCACTCCACCGCTCGCTCAAGAGCACTCACGGTCCGTGTCGATGCGACTAGCAGCAGGTAATTTCACAAGCCTTCGAAGACCACGGCCCGACGTCGATGCGAAGAATGAGTGTGGAGGCGGAGTGTGGAGGAAGTGAAGGCGGAGTGTGGAGGAGGTGGAGGCGGCTCCCGAACATACATAAACCCCCTACTTGTAGGTAGTAAAAGTGAAAGTACAATTGTTATAATACTATTTCGATCTATATCTTATCATATCATATCCGATATTACCCCTGAAAAAGACTTTTTAGTGATTTCGATTTTTTAGGTGAAGCGAAAACGCAAAATTGACTTTGAGCTCATGGAAGTCTTGATAGGGCTGAGAACACATATTAATCCCATCGAAGTATATGTATTGCTATCATGCACAGAGTCCATAGACCAGAGGAGACATTTGGCTTTCTCAATATCAGCTAATAATATGACTTGACTAATAATTTTTTTGTGAGCTTACTTTAAATTTCTGATAGAGCGCGTGACGCATGTAGGACTGGCAGGTTATTTGTCAATCTCAGGATGTTTTTGTTAAGTGAGTCAACTGTAACTCATCAGTTGTAGATGGGACAAATTGAAATGAAACCATCCCAACAAACATGCGTTTGCGGTAAAATTAAGGCCCAATACATTGCTCTTATAACTAGATGTTGCGGCAAAATAACTAGCGGTACGGGGCCATCAAGAAAAGGCTCATGGTATCAAACAGCTGAACAAAAACTTCAGCTGTTTGATAACATGACAAGTGTGTCCACACCCTTTGAAGGGCGTGAAGTGAGATGTGTGAAGGTACTTCAAATATCCAAATTTGACGTCAACGTGATATTTGAGCGACCAAAATTATTGTATGATATACACTCAGATCCAAAAAAGGTGACGCACTTGATATTTGAAAAATAGTGAGATTGCGGATTTTACGGAATCGATCAAATACTGCGGTAAATGTTCAGCAAGATCTTCGCCAAATTCGTGATGTTGCAGTAACTAAGCAGACGGTATGTAGGCGTCTAAAAGAAGTTAATTAAAAGCTAGAAAACCTGCAAAAGGTCCCAAATTATTGCCCGAACATCGTGCTGCTAGAAGAAATTCTGTTGAAAATTATGGACAATGGAATATTCCTGAATGGTCGAATGTCTTGTTTACGGATGAGTCAAGGTATTGCCTTAACATGGTGGATGGAAGAAAAAGAATGTGGAGAAGAACTGGTGAACGGTTCAATCAAAATTTAATAACAGAATGCGAAAGTTTCAATGGTGGGTCCGTTATGGTGTGGGGAGGGATTTCAATGAATGGAAAGACACCCCTTTATGTTTTTCCGGTGAGGCAGTCGATGAATGCCCAAATTTACATTGACATGTTAGAGCAGTATGCCTTACCTTATGCAGAGTTAGTGGGCAATAATTTTATATTGATGCAGGATAATGCCCGACCACACACCGCAGCAATAGTGCGAAACTTCTTAGAAACTACTGGTATTACCACATTACAATGGCCTGCGAGAAGCCCCGATATGAATCCTATAGAACATTTGTGGGATGAATAAGGGAGAAGGGTACGTTCTCGCGAGAGGTCTCTGGAAAGTCTCGCAGAAAAGGCAGATGCATTTGTGGAAGAATGGGATCGAATACCAATGGAAACGATAAGTACCTTAATTTCCAGTATGCCTCGTAGATTAAAAGTTCTTAGAGTTGCTAGAGGAGGCAATACACGGTATCAAGCAGTCATCCCAGTTTATATTTTTGTGTTTAATAAAAATGTTTTTTAAAATTATTGGTATCAGTTTATTTCATTAGAAAATTGTTTCTCGATAAATTCAGAAAGTTGGTAATCTGCAAGGATTCAGCAAAAAAAACTGTAATTCGGAAAATTTTAGAGATAAATCAATGAATAAAAAAACAAAATGCTCGCAAAAAAAGCCTCTTCCGTATAGGGTGTGAACACTTTTTATGCCATTACTCAATTAACACACAGGGTGTGTCAAAAATTAGGAATAAATCATGGTTCGAGTTATTCCACCACCATCAAGAAGGCTTTGAAAAAAAATTCACCTCTTTATTTTTTTTTAAGACAAATGCATTACCCATCAACAAATAAAAAAAATGAAAATCGGCCTACTATTTTTTTTTAAGAAGATAGGTCAAATATCAAGTGCGTCACTTTTTTTGGAACTGAGTGTATAATCCCGTGAATAGAGGAGGTTCCCCTTACAAACGGTCCGGTAGTTCTGAATTTTTGATATGTTATCTAGGATGGTTATGGAGTGTTCAAAATGCAAAATGCACAATTCCCCCTCCTCCGCGTCCATTGACATATTGAAAAAATCGAAAACAATCGGAACTTTCTCCAGATTTTCGCTTATATTATCGTTATGGTGCATTTTAGCTACAAAAGAGTCCCATTAAGTATTGTAGAAGATTAAATTTCCTATAATTCACGTTCTGAATTTTGATCCTAGGACTGATAGTTCAAAGATATGCACTTTTTTTAAAAATGTAAAAAATCGCATTTTCCGGAAATTTGTATAACTTCTCACTTTAGAGCGCTGTAGTTCACTTATTGCCTATTCTAGGGAAACAAGTATCGACAGAAGATTTGTAGGATATTTAATTTCCTACAGGAATGCATGTAAAATTTTTTTCACCAACCCTACGTAATGGGGGGGGGGGGGGGGGTGAAAATGAAAGTTAAAACAACGGCATATTGCTTTTTTGGCTATTGTGAATCCACATTGTATCTAAAAATATTCACCAACTATTTTCCAGTTTAAACTTGAATTTGGAGTTTATACTAATCCTACTTTGAATTTTTACATGACACAGCGCGATGCTTGAGATGCAGGTACTATTTCAATTGATTACCTACCTGGTGAGAGGGGATGTTCACTTTCGAAATACATTTTTCAAAGATTTATTTTTCTCAAACAAAGTAAGAACAATGGACAGTTATAATAATACTAAATTGAAATGAGAACTGTGAAGGAAACAATCACATGCGCTTCGCTCGTTTCGTAGGGGGTGAGTTATTCAAGTCTGTGTCTTTATTTTCATCAAATTGTGAAGTAGTTACTAGATCGGCATCGTCTTGATATCTTCATCCCTGTTATTGTATTCTTGGCCAGCACAAAATTTGCAAGTGTGCCAGTCAGTTGGACGAGTAGGTCAATGTCTTCTCCGACAATGATGACGGAGTCCTACGTGGGGACAGACATTTAGCTGTGGCAACTATCAACCTGTCAGCATCTTCGCAAGCTTGGACTGTGGCTATATTTGGCCAGGAATTTCTCCTGAGGTGCGGTGTTGACAGTGGTTTTGTCGAACACCACGTTTGATGATGAGTTTGCCTTGCTCGTTCAGCAATCTTGGTCCCTTGCTGAGAAGGATCTGTAGTATAGCCATCAAAAATCACCATCACATTGGTGCCATAGTGTCGCTGAACGTACTTGACAAAATTCCGGAACATACGTTCTTTTTATTTTATAAAAAAATCATATCTCCGTAGTAACTATCAGTCATAGAAAGAAAATTCGAAACGAGCATTGTAGGAAACTCATTTGTAGCTAAAATGCACCAAAACGAAGATATAAGCGAAAATCTGGAGGAAGTGCCGATTTCTTTGGGTTTTATCAATATGGCGGAGGGCGCGGAGGAGGGAGAATTGTGCATTTTGCATTTTGAACACTCAATAACCATCCTAGATAACATATCAAAAATTCAGAACTATCGGACTGTTTTTAAGGTAAACCCCCTCTATGTGTCTCTATTCACTGGATTAGTATTAGAATAAAATAAGTAATGCGTGCTAGTACGACAATTTGACGTTGGTTGTGCACTTGTTCCGAGATCATTTTCCTTAATGAAGGAAATTTGGTCTACAGTAATATACAAATTTATTATGTCCATTGCTGAAGCAGTGTCTACTCTGCTAAGACATTCATCCTACTTATTGTTATCTTTGTTTTTTTTTCAGAACATACAAGGTAGTGTCTTGAAAGGTAAAAGAAGCTTTCCATTAAATACCAATATTGTTAATATGCAAGCATAATACTTACATCAGTTTCAATATTCTTGTTGTTGTAAAATATCATGAAATATGTGTTTTTGTTGACCAAAGAATTTGTAGGTGATTGATATGTTTTGATAATTCTATGAATAAATGATTGAAGATAATACCATCTATACTTTTTTACTTCGGTTTACCCGATCCAACTAACTGTGTTATGAATGATGTGATTTATGTAAAAAAATTAGAATATTTTCTAAAAACACGTCTCTTTGACACTCACTGATTCTCTAACTGTCACTCTGCGAGTTGATCCGTTGTTAAGATAATTGGTTACGACACTGTCTGTCTACTATGCCTATCCTGAGATGCTTACAGAAATGCACGGCATCTAGAAAAGAACTGAATAGAGTCGGCAGAAGTCATGCATTTTCGACAGTGTCAGAATTATCTGTATAAGTAGACATGTCACACGAATCTATGTATTTCCATTCATTATTAAGTTGAATAAACGATACAGTCCACTCAAGCATAAATCATTGAACAACGAAAGCACATAAAAATGGTCCTTCGAGCCGGATGTGTTCGTACACGAAGAAGATGTCACGTTAAAGAAAGCAAGTCTAGTCGAAAGCAAGCAAGTCTCGTTGAAAGCAAGTACCTATCACGAATCACCTAGTAAGCCCATCCCATGTCCATACCCATTCATTCCTTTTCCTATCACTCATTCAAATGCAAGGTCTCGTTGGGGTAGTTTTGTTCTAAGTAAGCAAGTGAAACTCGTAAAAAAATATGGAAGCATTAAAAGAAGAATTGAGGGAATTAAGATATAGAAGGGGTTTAATAAAAACGCAACTAACAAAATTCAAGAATTTTATTTCCATTGAAGAAAATCAGGCTGATGTTGAGCAAATAGAAATAAGACTTGGAAAAATTGATAAGTATTTCGATGAATTTGAAGTAATACAAGCTAGGTTAGAATGTTTAGAGCAGGATGAAGAAATAGTCCGGGAAGAAATAGAAAATACTTTTTATTCTGTAGTGTCGCGAGCAAAGAAGTTGATGAAACAGTTTTATAGTCCAGTAGCAAATGTTGTAAATCCACCAAGTGGTGAAATGCAAAGTGTCACAGATCCCTTACGAAATATCAATCTTCCTAGATTGAATCTGCCTGTGTTTTCAGGAAAATTCGAAAATTGGCTCACTTTTCATGATGAATTTCTTAATCTCATTCACAACAATGCAAGTCTCACAAATATGCAAAAGTTTTATTATTTGAAATCATCGCTCAAAGAACCTTCAAAACTAATTCAAGCTTATGAAATATCGAATGATAACTACCTAATTGTATGGAATTTCTTGATTCAAAGATATCAGCGTAAAAGGCATATAGTAAATAGTCACATTAATGCATTATTTGAGTTACCATCGGCAACAAAAGAATCTGCGGTATTGTTAAGAGAAATATCTGATGGGTTCTATCGGCATGTGAATATATTGCAAAAAATGAAATTACCAATAAAGGAATGGGACGCCTTTTTAGTGAATCTCATTACGTCAAAACTAGATAACGTTACCATACGCGAATGGGAAAACTCGTTAGATGATGAAGATTTTTTACCAACATATGAACAAATCATCAAATTCTTGAACAAAAAATGCTTTACATTGGAAACAGGCTGCCGAAAAGTAACTACAAAGTCCAATGCATATCAATCGCACACATCACATTCATACAAACACGTTAAGACGAATCAAGAACATGCGCTGATCACAAGTCATGAATATTCACCGAAATGTCATTACTGTCAACAAGGTCATTTTGTTTTTAATTGTGCTGATTTTCTTAAATTATCAGTCCCAGAAAGATACGAAGCGGTAAAATCTAGGAGAGTATGTCTAAACTGCTTGAGACCTGGTCACACAAAGGTAGAATGTCGTTCGTCTCATTGTAAGAAATGCAATTTACAACATAGTACTCTACTTCATAATAATTTGTTTGGTAATAAAGTTCCATCAGCAGGCTCAGAAACAAACAAAGTTCCTGATGTAACAGCCACGGCAATGGCAAGCAATGTATCGGAGCCGCCGATGCAGCGTAACGGAACAACGGCTCACGTTGCCAATCCGAAGCATGTAGAAAATGCTCAACCCTTGGTTTTGTTATCTACGGCGAAATTGAGTATTTCAGATGCAAACAAGAGAGGTCACATATGCAAAACTTTATTAGACTCAGGCTCTCAAAGTAATATCATGTCCATGAATCTCGCAAGAAAATTGAAATTACAATTTGAAGATTTCTCGTTACCTTTAGTTGGTATAAATCGACAAGTCACAAATATTCAACATAAGGTAAAAACAACTATAAAGTCATGTTACACTACATATTCAGCAAATCTAACATTCCTCATTTTACCAACGATAACAGGGAAAGTACCTTCGGTCTCGTTTGATAATGAGTCAATTAAAATTCCGTCGGATGTCTCCTTAGCAGATCCGAATTTTAACGTTTCCGAGAATATTGATCTATTGTTAGGAGCCAATATTTTTTATGATTTACTCGGCCCTAATCAAATGAAATTGAACGATACTTTATTATTGCAAGAAAGTGTTCTCGGATGGATAATAGCGGGAAGTATTGCGTTGAAGTCGCCGATAACTCGAACTAGTCGCAATACGGCGATAAATGCATGCTATGAAGAATTGAACAATAATTTGTAAAGATTCTGGGAAATAGAAGAGATACCAAAAAATAATCATTTATCAGAAGAACAACAGATAGCGGAAAGTTATTTTGTTAAAACTACGACACGAGATGCAAGTGGAAAATTCATTGTTAGATTACTTTTTCTACGAGAAATTAATAACTTGGGAGACTCTTACACGACGGCACAAAAAAGATTCAAATCGCTGGAATACAAGTTTTCACGGAATGAAGAATTGAAACAAGCTTACGTAGAATTTATGGCGGAGTATGAAATATTGAATCACATGACGTCACAGGGTACTTTTAAGCAAAGTTTAATATCACAGCCTCATTTTATTTTACCTCATCATGCGGTAATAAAACAACTCAGTACAACCACAAAATGCAGGGTAGTTTTCGACGGTTCAGCGAAAACAAATTTAGGAATTTCGTTGAATGATAATCTCAGTGCTGGTCACATTATTCAAGATAGCCTATTTGCAATAGTTATGCGCTTACGACTGTATAAGTATGTATTGAGTAGTGATATTAAAATGATGTTCAGGCAAATCTGGGTTCATGACGATGACAGGAAATTTCAACAGATATTATGGTCACCAGAACACAATACAGAATTGAATTTGTACACGTTAAATACATTCACCTACGGTACAGCATGTGCACCTTTTTTAGCTCAAAGATGTTTGAAACAATTAGCCCTCGAAAATATAAATCATTATCCTCGCACGTGCAAGATTATTTTAAACTCATTTTATATGCACTGAGAGAAACTAGATATTAAAAATATCTACCAGCTCTGATTGTAATAACCATTATAAGGAAATCTCCTATTCCAGATCATTTTATTATTACAACAGTATTCTCTCCATTCTGTAATTATAAAAATCGATTTCTTAAATCATTCGTATTACCCTTGAATGGACATTTGCTACCATCAGAACGCAGGTGTGTTATGACATTATGAGAATTTTATAAATTCCAGTCTATTTAGATTTTTTATTGACATAGCTCGTTTTGTGAATTATGCTCATTGGTGAATTCAGATAATGTTTGTCCCAATAATCATAGCTGTTTGGGTTTCTAGCATTGTACGTTGACGAATAACTCTAGCAATTCACATGTATGACGGTTATTAGGCAATCATTCGACAATCGTAATTCGGCTCATTTCGCTCTAGTGTTTCATTAGTATTGGGGCTGACAAAGATACAGATCGCGTTCATTTCACTTCTGTTCTCGCTCATAGGTGCCCGTGTTCAATTATTGTTCAATGGTTTCGATCGTCCTAATCGATAGAGCCGTGTCTTGTAGGTGAATGTCTGTGATGTAGCAAAGTTTTGTTTTAGTGCTGGCTGTGAACCGATCTGTGGAATACACCGTGCATTGCATCATTGCAATGAAAACAGTATTCTCCATACCCACTTTTCACGGACTACAATATTGGTTTATTTCAAAAACAAAATGATCGATGAGATTCTGAATCAAAATATCTGGGTTTCTGTGACGGAAGTTTTATTGACAATTCTCATCATAACTCCGAAGGAAGGGTAAACATGAGTATTCAACTTCTCATTTCTTAATAAATTCGTCAGTAATGCATATAGATGATATTTCTCCGAAAAAATCAATGAGTAATGCCAAAAAACTTCCACAGATACCCAAATATTTCAATTCAGAGACTAAACGAATTTTTTTGTTTTTTTGAAAACAATAACTTTGGATCATGAAAAGTGATAGTGTGGATAGGACATTTATTTCCATTGCAGTAATTCAAAGCACGGTTTCATAATGCATACCATCGAATAATGTTGATTAGATAACCTTATTACCACTGTTTGATGAATATACTAGAGTAGAAAAATATTGGGATAACTGTTGAAAATTAACTATATTACAATAGCATGTCAAAATGTCAGGTTTCATGCAGATATCAGATAACTATAATAAAATGAGACGTATTACTGCGTTACCTCAAGATGGTTGTGCCAGTAATAAAAACATGCTGTTTTATGTCGATAGTCTAATAACCACTGTAGAGTGGAGAGTTACTACTACATTTTATGGGAATAATTCCTATTCGACATTCTGTGTTATCATAGAAACTAGAACAAGTAGTAGTTATTCAGCAGCGGTGTTTTCATACAAGTTTGCGAATTGAATAAGCTGCCATAACTATAAGTTACCTGAAAATTCACTTCATCTATGGTAGCAAATGAACACATCTGTCCCCTATTTATTGCAGATATCGTAATAACGGTTATCAGATTTCCAATTATGATAACACAAGTTTTCTCTCAGTGTGGATGATCTTCTAGTAAGTTTGAAATCGAAAGAAGAAGCTCTCGAAGTATATGAAGAAATTACTCGTATCTTGGATCAGGGTGGTTTCAAACTAAGGAAGTGGTCGTCTAATGATAAAACTATTTTGCATGACATACTAGAAACCTCTGACAAAGGTGAAAAAA